CCTGCAATTCCAACACTTTGGGAGGCCGAGGCAGGCGGATCACAAGTTCAGGAGATCGAGACCATCCTGGCTAACAGGGTGAAACCCCGTCCCTACTAAAAATACAAAAAAATTAGCCAGGTGTGGTGGCGGGCGCCTGTAGTCCCAGCTACTTGGGACATTGAGGCAGGAGAATGACGTGAACATGGGAGGTGTAGCTTCCAGTGAGCCGACATCATGCCAGTATACTCCAGCCTACGCGACAGAGCGAAGCTACGTCACAAAAACAAAACCAAAACAAACAAACAAACAAACAAACAAAAATTTAATGTTGACTTATATTTATTTTTATTTAAGGACAAATAATTAAATTAATATTTATATACAAAATGACTGTAGCCCATAAACAAAGCTTGTCGAAATACACAACATTACAGTTATATAGGGAGAATAAGCTCAAGGATTATATTACAACATGGTGAGTATAGTTAACAATGGATAGTGTTCTTGAAAAATGCTATTAGCGTGGATTTCAAGTGTTCTCACCATAATAATACATATGTAAGGGAACAGCTGTCAGTTGATAAATAAAGCAAATGCACTGTGTCCCATCTCTGCACTCCCCCTTCATCCTTGGTCTCTTGCAACCACTCAACTATTGATTGATTTGTTTATATTTAAAACAGACACATCTCATTGTATGTATTTCTTATGTACAAAATGCTGTTATAAAGTAGGTACACATTGTCTAGTATCTAAATTAGGTAACTGACAGCCGTTACCTTTAGGTTCAAGCCAAAGTTGGGCAGAAAGAACAGAGGTCCCCAATATCCTCTCCCCGCCATATGCAGAGCCCCCTTCACTATCAACTTTCTGCCCCAAAGTGGTACGTTGGCTACAGTCATTCAACTTACATGGACACATCACTCTGACTCTGTGACCATAGCTCTCCTTAGGATTCACTTGGGTGTTGTACATTCCATGGATTAAAGCAAAGGCATAGTTACATGTATCCACCGTTGTTGTATTCTATGGACTAGTTTCACTTCCATATATTTGTACTCTGTCCAGTCTCTGCACTTCTCCTTCAATCTCGGTCCCTTGCGACCACTCAACTATTGACTTATGTATTCATATTTAAAGTGTGGACAAATCTCGTACATATTTCTCATGTGCAAAATGCTGTTTTAAAGTATGTACACATTGTCTAATGTCTAAATCTAGGTCATTGGCATCCATTACTTCACATATATATTACTGTGGTGAGAACACTGCACATCCATGTTAATAGCATTTTTCAAAAATACAATCAACTGTTAACTATAGTCATCATGTTACACAATAATCCTTGAACTTATTCCCCCTATGTAACTGAAATATTGTGTAGTTTGACCAAAGTCTTCTCAAATACCCCACCCCCAGCCACCACAGCTCCAAACAACCACTTTTCTTGTTTTACATCCATCAGACTAACTTTGTGAGATTTTACATATCATTGAGATTATGTGGTATTTGTGTTCCTACCTATGCCTAGCTTATTTCACTTAGCATGATGTTCTCCAGGTATATCCATGTGTCACAAATGACAAGATTTCCTTCTTCATTAAGGCCGTCTAGTATTCCCTTGTGTATATATGTCAGATTTTCCTCATCCTGTTATCTGCTTTTGGACATTTAAGTGAATTCCATATCTTAGGTCTTGTAAATAGTGCTGCAATCAACGTGGGAGTGCAGATATCTTTTCAATAGACTGATTTCATTTCCTTTTGATATACACCTCCCAGTGTGGGATTGCTGGATCGTATGGTAGCTGTAATTATTTAGTTTTTGAAGGAAAGTCCATACTGCTTTCTATAATGGCTCCCTAATTTACATTCCCAGGAATAATGCAAGGGTTCCCTTTCCTCCACATCCTCATCAACAAGTGTAGTCCTTTGATGTTTTGACCATAGCCATTCTAAAGAGTGTGAGGTGATATCTTCTTTCAGTTTTTATTTGCATTTCCCTGAAGATTAGTGATGTTGAGTACATATATATATATATACACAGACACACACACACACATATATACACACTAGTAACAGCAGTTGTATATGGATATATACCTGCTGGCTACTTTCATGGCTTCTCTTCAGAAATATCTATTATTTAGTTCCTTTGCCCAGTTTTTAAATTGAACTGTTTCTTGGTTTCAAGTCCTTGGAGTTCCTAGTATATTTTGGACAGTAGATAATGAATTCCTTGTTGGATGTAGAGTTTGCAAATATTTTCTCTCTTTATGATTCTGTCTCTTCATGGTGTTGATTGTGTTGTCGGCTCTGCAGACTTTTTGTTTTTCATTTGGATGCAATCCATTTATCTATTTTCCCTCTTGCTGTCTCTGCTTTTGGGACATATTACAAACATCATTGGGTTAACCATTGTCAATGAGGATATCCCTTGTTTTCTTCTAGTAGGTTCATAGTTTGAAATTTTAAGTATATTTTGGTTGATTCTTGTGTATGATAAGAGTAAGGGTCCAATTTCATTTCTGAGCATGTAGATACTCAGTTTTCCTATCACCATTGATGGAAGAGACTGTCCTTTTGGTCCGTTGCTGGCAGCTTTGTAAAAATTCAGTTGGCTGTACAAGTATGGATGGATTTCTGAGCTCTCTGCTCAGTTCTAGTGGCTTCTGTGTCTGTTTTAATGCCAGTGTTAATGCTGTTTTGGTTCCTACAGCTTGATAGCATACTAGGAAGATAGAAAAGCAAGAATCTTTTTATTTTCTCTATAGTTTGCCCTGTGACATTACCACTCAGAGAAATGTTGATACTTCACTTTTCCAGTGTTTACTGATTTGAAGCCAGGGTGATGACATCGAATCTCCTTAGGAGCCACCCTGATACTGGAACTCCATTTTATTGTGGTTATACATTTGTTACCATCTATCTTATATTCAGGTTACTGGATCAATTACATGTCAGTATAATTACAAATAATGTTCAATTACACAAAATATTTAACGGTCAAATCCTACACTGAGAAGGAATTTTATTTTTAATTTTTGTATTCTTATAGAATAATTTGGAAAATAAAGTAACAACTGAATTTTTTCTAGTATGAAAATGCATTGTCATCATATGTATTTCTGTTTTAGAGGAACACAAAATAGAAATAAACATGTTATTTCAGCCATTAACCTAGTTTACACGGGGGTCAATTCCTTGGAAGTGAAGGCATAGAAAGGAGTGCCCAGATTAGACAGGGTATCTGGGGTCTGTGCTTCTCTTAGTTTTAGGCTCCTAGAGTGTGTTACCATTCTGACATCATCAAACATCACTCCCTACATGAAACAGTCTTGGTAGGAAAGTAAAAGGAGTCATTTTTGAGAAGAAAACTGTTTTTTAATTTCTTTTTTATTTTCACAAGCTGGAAAAGAGGTGCTCGATTCCCCAGGAAAAGTTATGGAAAAGTGCTAAATGTTTACAAGGGCAACTACTCCAGTGCTCTTAGAAAGCCCAGAACCTTCAGGATAGAGTATTGTAAGGGAGGACTTTGTTGCATCAGGATAGAGTATTGTAAGGGAGGACTTTGTTGCATCTCCTTAAAATCACATATGAGCAAAAATCCTAAGTTATATCAACTTCAGGATTTGATATGAATCCAGTACGGTCTCTTAAAAGGGTTTCTTTCTTCTGCCTGAAAACAGCTCCCCGTCCACAGGATGCTCAAGGCCCATGTACCTTCGTTCTTCCAACTAGGAAGCCCTAGAACAATGGCTGCTCATACGTGGACCTCAGAGACCTAGATATGATGCTGATGACTGTTATTTTCTTGAGCCAGGATCTCACTCTGCCGGCCAGGTAGGAGAGCAGTGGCTCCATCTCGACTCACTGTAATCTCCACCTCCAGAGCTCAAGAGATCCTCCTACCTCAGCCTCTGGAGTAGCTGAAACAGCAGGTGCCAACCACCACATTTAGCTTTTTTTCCCCACTGTAATTGTAGAAAGGAGGTTTCGAGATGTTGCCCAGGCTGGTCTGGAATGCCCGAGTTCAAGGGATCCGCCAACCCCGATCTCCCAAAATGCTCTCTGATGATAGAAATAAGCCATTGTGCCCCGTCTGAAATACAAATGTGATTGGACAACATTATTAAACAGGCTGCTGCCTTCATCTGAGTGAGACCAGTGTAAGCTGTAAGAAAGACATTAAGTCATGGGTAAGTCCATGATGGGTTGAGATACTGAAGCTCCAGCCTGCAGAGGGCCCTGTCATAGAAAGACTGGAACCAGCACTTTCTCCTCTAAGATCAGGCCTTTCTTTCTGGACTGGGGCCCAGAGGAAGATGACTTTGTTTTTTAGTAGGTGTTTGGAAAATGGCCACTGGCCTGTCCCGTGAGAAAGGTTTCCCTCCAATGCTTGGGCTGCAGTGGGGCATGTCTCCCCACATCTCAAACACGCCCAGGACCTCGTCTACCACTCCCCCAACCAAGACCTGTATCATTCCAGCCCTGGCCACGGCTGGCACCACGTTCTAGGACACTGAGCTGCTGGTGATGGACTGCATCGGACTTCTGATGGGTGCCTCTCTCCCTTTCCCACCCACAAACAGACCCACACTGGTTTTTGCCTCCCATAATGTGAAATGACTTGTGTATAGAGATTCTATTCACATTTTAGAAAGTAGGATGTAATGTATGTTCACAGCAAAGATACATTCAGGAACAGCCCAGGAGACAGGGAATATTGAGAACACAGAGTTGCATATAGGAAAAGTCAAAGTATGGATCTCATGTGCTGTTTGATCAAATGCAGGAGACATTTTCTATTTGCCACCAATAAGAACTTTATTTGGTTTCCAATGATATTAATGAACAAATTTTTTCACAATTGTTCCTGATTTGAACTGTTGAAAGGCGTTCAGTGAGAAATTCCCCGTTGACATGAATGCATTAGACCCTCAATGTAGATGGAAAGTTTACAGAGAAAAGAAAACAGAAACACAGTCGTACCGGTTATATCTGCCTCTGTTGTTACTCCTAATCATATGCAGGGCTACTTTTGGACCCAGTGAGGGACATAAAACCAAAAGTGAAGAGAACCACTAATATCAGAACTATGATTAACACAGAGAGGAAGAAAAACACAACCAACGGAAGCGAAGCCGTCCAGCGTGCAGCGTTTCCCAGGAGCGTGGGCTCTTCGGCACCCTCTCCGAGAAGGCGGCGGGCCAGCTGTATGTCTCTGGGCGTAACTGTGTCGCGCCTGGCATGATTAACACATGGATTGGTGTGTTTAAACCAGGTAGGCCTCGCTGTTCCCCTGAAATCGCCAATGGCCGCACTCTGGAAGCTCAGATCTGGCTGGATGGCCTGGGCGATCTCGCGCACCAGGCGGTGGAAGGGCAGCTTGCGCAGAAGCAGCTGCGTGGACTTCTGGTACTTTCTGATTTTGCACAGGGCCAGGGTGCCAAGCCTGTGGCGGTGAGGCTTCTTGATCCCTCGGGTAGCCAGGACCCTCTTGCCGGCAGCTTTGGTGGCCAGGGGCTTCCTGGGGGCCTGCCAGGCGGAGGCTTTGCAGTCGGTCTGCTTGATGTGAGCCATGATGTGGGACTGTGGCCTCTCCCTTGTGCTTGGGCTGAGCCTGGTGAACTGGCGGCAGCGCTGGTACGAGACAGCAATGGTATTGGGGCTATGGGCAGGATTCAGAGAGGCTCTGTGTTGGGATCTATGCAGAAGATGCTCCCATACACTTAGCCCCTTCCCACCCAGTCCCAGACTTACCAGCTCACTGATCAGTGGGTCCGAGGTCCCTATATTCAATCTCTTTGACTGGCCTTGGGATTTGTAGGTCTGCACTCAACCGTGGAGAATCTTTCTCCCAGGCAGTCTTGCTCTGGCTGGAGATCTCTGTGATCTCAGCCAAATTCAGTCATTTATAGGAGGCTTGGATGATTGGATTAGACCCACCCAGCTACCTTCCACCGCATTCTGTGCTTCAGCAGATGCTTAACCTAATCAGGGCTGTGAAAGCTCATTAAGCCCCTGGGTTCTTCCTCCCCTACTAGAGGGAAACATCTCTGGATTGTGCATTGTGGGAGGGATGGTAAATGAGAGGTGTCACTTAAGGTTTTGGGTGCCAAATGGATTCTGAAAGTTTACATTTTATTTACATCAATGAAATAGTTCCTTAAAGTTGCATGTTAGGCCAGGCGCGGGGGCTCACACCTCTAATCCCAGCACTTTGGGAGGCCGAGGCGGGCAGTTCATGAGGTGAAGAGATTGAAACCATCCTGGCTAACATGGTGAAACCCTGTCTCTATTAAAAATATAAAAAATTAGCGAGGCGTGGTGGCGTGCGCCTGTAAGCACAGCTACTCGGGAGGCTGAGGCAGGAGAATCACTTGAACCTGGGGTGCGGAAGTTGCAGTGAGCCGAGATAACACCATTGTACTCCAGCCTGGTGACAAAGTGAGACTCTGTCTCAAAAACAAAAACAAAAACAAAAGATAAAGTTGCACGTTACACAACTTACATGTCTGCAGAAAAACACCAAGGCTTGAGATCATGAGGTCTTCATCAGGTTCCACGAGGATGAACTGAACAGGGAAGGGGAATGTGGAAACCTGAAATGGCCACTCCACTGTGAGGGATTCTCCTGGGGCATTTTTCTCTTCAAAAGTGATGCTCCCGCAAATCTGTTGGTAGCCTCCTGGGGAAGGCAAAGCTTTTCTAAGAAAACACAGACATGTGAGTGTCACTGATGCCCCCCTTATCTTCTTTTCCACTTTGAATGTGGATTTGATGCCTGAACTGAGCTATCCTGTTGTTGCCCAGGATGAAAACACCACGAGGTCCTGAGAAGTCAGCCCCGACCTCACTGAACTGCTGAACTGAGGTCACAGCTTAGCGAAGTAAATATTGAAAACATTTCATTATTTGAATAGCTTTAGCAGTACCAAATTGTTTTAGGTACCATAAAATGAGATAGGTTGTTGCTGTATGACCTAGGCTGGAGTGTAGTAGTAAGATCTCTGCTCACTGCAACCTCTGCCTCCTGGGCTCAAGGGATCCTCCCACCTCAGCCTCCCAAGTAGCTGACACCACTGTCACGTACGCCACCCCTGGCTAATTTATGTATTTTTTGTAGAGAGGAGGTGTCGCCCTGTTGTCCGGGCTCATCTCGAAGTCATCTGCCTGCCTCAACCTCCCAAAGTGCTGGGATTACAGGCATGAGCCACCATGCCTGGCCAGTAAAACATTTTTGAATAGCCCAACATATATATCTTGTTATTTATATGCTTTATTTATGGAATATAGTCATTTTGTATATAAAATTAGTTAATTTAATTCTTTGTCCTTAGATAAAACTAAACGTAAATCAACATCTAATTTTGTTCTTTATGCCTTGATTATCTTGCATATTTTGGGGGCATATGGCCTTCTTCTTCTCTATTCATTTAAGAAGTCATTAATTCAGACCTCTCTCTAGAGTGTCTATCTCTCAAGATAAAGACCCACTAGAACTTAAGAGAAAAATGAGGAGTATATAAAGTTTAGATAAATTCAGTGCCTTTTTAGAATATAGTGAGAGATACCTATATATGGTAATCAATTTTTATGAGAAGTTTATGTATCTGTGTTTGTTTTATTTCAGGGATTAATTTTCAAGTTTTGGATGGTTCTCCCTATTTGAGTTGCCATTTGTTTCTGCTTATAACCTACCAATCATGCCTTCAGTACTAGTAAATATTGAAAAGGAAAGGCCCTGTGTGACTTACAAAGGTTCCAATGTAAATATGTGTTACTGGAAAGGAGGAGTTTCACCATATTGTTCGATACAGGCTGGTATCGAACTCCTGACCTCAGGAGATCCACCCACCTCGGCCTCCCAAAATGCTGAGATTACAGGCATGAGCCACAGCGCCTGACTAGTAATTTCATATCTTCTACCAACTATTTTTGAATAAACAAAAGTTGTATAAAAGTCAGATATTTGAGTGTTTGCTTTACCTTCTGAAGTACTTTTTATGCCATTTCACAACATAATTTTCCCTAAATGTGATTCATATCTTTGTGCATGACATAATTTTCTGTGTCTTTGGTGCTTCTCTGTGACTTATGTATACATATACATGTAATATATAAATTGCAGTCTGGGCGCAGTGGCTCATGCTTGTAATCCCTTCACTTTGGGAATCCAAGGGGGGCAGATCACACGAAGTCAGCAGTTCAAGATCAGCCTGGCCAAAATGGTGAAACCTTGTCTCTACTTTTAAAAACACAAAAATTAACCTGGCGTGGTGGTGTACACATTTATTCCTAGCTACTCCAGAAGCTGAGGCAGGAGAATCGCTTGAGGCCAGGAGGTGGAGGTTGTAGTGAGCTGAGATCAGTCCACTGCAATTCATCCTGGGGCGCAGAGCGAGACTCTGCCTCAAAGATAATAAGTAAATAAATAAATGAATAAATAAATAAATAAAATTGAAATAACATTTTCATATTCCCCTCACCCAGCCCAGTTTCTTTTCAGAGTATCTGATAAACCACTTGTTTCCCTATGAGTTAGACATTTTTTTCTCAGACACTTCAGTTCTTTAATGTGCAACTTCATAAAATGTCTCATTTTTACTGTGAATGTTTTTCTGTTGTTGTTCTGAGATGTGAACTTTGCGATTCTGTGAGGAAGACAGAATTGTGAAATGCCCCCTGCATTTCCCGCCCCTCAGAGACTCGCCCTACATCTGCCCCTCCCTTGAGTGTGGGCGGAACCATGAACTGAGGAGCCGCCCAAATCCCTGATTAGATTAAGGATACCCTGAACCAATAGCTGTAAGGGCTGGGTCTAATCCAATCATCTGAATAAGGGACGGAACCTCCCTGAGATTCCATTCCCTGAGGGAGATTCCTCAGCACTGGCTGTGCAGACCCAGGGAGCCCCACAGCTCAGACCCGGTCAACACCTGCAGCAGCCGAGAGCATCCTCCCAGCAGCAGGCAGAACAAACAAGTGGGCCTGGGTCTCACAACCCTAAGGCATTGAATTCTGCCACCAACTCGAATCAGATCGAAGACAGACCCTTCTCAGGTGAAGGCAACGACCGCACAGTCAGACCCTTCCTGGAAGTCCCTCATGTGACTCTGACCAGGAGGCAGTCACTTGGCTCAGTAGAACTTCTGACCTGTGAGTTGGGGTTTGTTTTAAAGACCCAAAATTTATCGAGAATTTATTTATGCATGATTCTGAAACTTGGTATATCCTTCTCCATCCAGCAAGGTTTCCTTTTCACATTGCCAGAGTGGGGAAAACCCAAGATTGTGTGTGTTGTGTGCGGAACGGGCGGAGGCAGGAGGGTTGCTCTGTCCAGTTGGGTTAAAACTGCTGGCTCCAGCAGAAACCCAGCAGGCCTGAAATCTGTGGAATGGTTCTTCATTGCAGATCCATAATCAAAAAACCACCCCAGCCAGAACTTCCGCCTCTACAGCGCTGTCAGAGGAGCCAAAGACGCTGAATCCCACCATGGAGGACGGGGCAAGGCAGGCAGGCTGTGTCTGCTGAAAGACTGTTCGGCCATGCCCCGAACGGGTTCTGAAGGGGCGGAGCAACAGGTTGGGATCCCTGAGGATCCCCTAGATGGGAACTTGAAGGAACCCAGGGATCAAGGCAGGTGAGCATCAGTGGAGTCAGGATTGTTCACGGACCTGATGGGAACTGGCGACAACGAAGCCTCAGGCCTTCAGCTCCCCTGGCAGCCAAAAGGACTGAAAACAGACACCAAAAGGAAAGAAGGAGGAGGAAGCCCACCGTGGATGGCAGAGGAGGCTCACGAGGATGAGCACCTGCTTGTTCCGCCTGTTCTGGAGGGAGCAAGGCTGGCCCGCTATTGAAGTGGGGGGGGTGTCGGCGTGGGGTGTCAGCTTTTCGCCAACGAAGCAGCAGTGGCACGTCTGATGACGGGCGGTCGTATCAGTGGCACGGTCGGGGTGTGCTCGCTGGAACCACGGGGGCCCATTGCCATGGCTGGATAGCCAAGTCTTGCCCGCCGGGTGGCGGAGAGGTGGTGGAAGGAGGCCCTGGAAACGTTGTGTGAGATG